CAGCCTAGCGCTTAACCACTGTGCCACCAGGGCTCATCGAACCACCCAGGAACCTTTAAAAGAAGGATACCAGTTCTATATTATGATTCAATATTCCATTCTAAAGTATTCCATATATATGAATACCTTTGAAATTACTAAATTCACTTTTCCTTCGTTATATTTTCAAGTATTTTAGATCAGGTGTGGTAAACTTTTCTGAAAAGGGCCAGATAAGGCACAAATTATGCTTTGCTGGTCACATAGGTCTCTGCCAATATTCTTCAGGGGTTTTTTTGTTTGTTTGTTTTATAACCCTTTTAAAAAAAATTCTTAGCTTGTGGGTCACACAAGCCAGATTTGGCTCACAGACCCTTAAAATCAGTTAATTTTTTTCAAAGTAAACTTAAAAAAAAAGTAAGAATATCTTTTAGATACAATAATGAGACTAAGTTAGGGCCCTAGATCCTGCTGCTCTACCTTTCGCTTACTAGGTGTTGAACCTCTGACAAACTATATATCCTGTCTGGGCCTCAGTTTCTTCATGTATAAGACAGTTCAACTAGGTCATTAATTTTTTTTTATTATTCTTAAATTCCAGTTGATTCTTTCCAAATTTTTGTGAGTATTTCTGTTTTTAGCACCCTAATATGGAATATTAAGTGTTCGGTTGCTAATGTAAAGATCGGTGCTTTGAACCCACCAGCCACGCCGCAGGAGAAGGATACGGCAGTCTGCTTCTGTAAAGATTACTGTGGGACAGTTCTACTCTGTCCTTTAGGGTCACTATGAGTCAGAATCTACGCGACGGCAGTAGCTTTTGCTTTTTTGTTTTTGTTTTTTAATATGGAATATAAGCCTATTTATGACACATTTTTTCATAGTTATCTTTCCTTATTAATACGAGTTTGTTTTGTTATATGCTCTGCTTGAATTTTCTTCAGAAAAAAAAAATCTTACTTTATACTTCACCCTGTCCAAATAGCTATCTCCTCAACAATACACATTAGAAAAATTTTACTGAATTGTGAATAAAAGTAAACTCAAGTAACTGAAAACAATTTTTTAAAAACATTTTGTAAAGATAAGTCTGCATGTTTTGGTTAAGTTGGGGTCAATGCCAAACTGAGCATCCAAAAGTTAATGGAGAAGAAGTACCTCCAAAGCTTCTACAATCCTGTTATTGTGGTGATAAATAAGAAGTAGTACAGGCTCAGAGTTTGGGCAGCTCTTTCTAACTTGCTCATACATCCTCTATTGCAGGCTTGGCATCTTGGGTTTATCTGTATTACTATCTCATTTTTCATTCATATCCATCATCATCTCTTGTTTCAAAATGGCATTCTCTGATATAGCACTTATTTTTCCTCTCTGGCATCCACCTAGTCCGATTCTCAACTTCCTAGCCCTGCACTACTAAAATATCCATCGTAGTTTATTGCTTTTCAAAGAGTGCTCTGAGAATTTGCATCATTTGGGATGCTGGTTAAACATGCAACCTCCTAGATCCCATAGACTACCACTGTCCAGCAGAAATATAACACAAGTCACATACGTAATTTTAAATGTTCTAGAAGTCACATTAAAAATTTAAAAGGAAACAGATTAATTTTAGTAATACATTGTATTTAATCCAACGTATGTCAAAGATTCATTTCAATACATAATCAATTACAAAACATATTAATATGTGATACTGTATATTTTCTTCTGTATGTCTTTGAAATGTTATGTGTGTATTTTACACTTGTAGCACATCCCAGTTCAGACAAGCACATTTCAAGTGCTCAAGAGCCACATGTGGCTAGTGGTTATTCTATTGGATTGAATCAAACTGGAGGAGAAGGGAATATAAGGAAGGAATTTGCAGATTTAGCAAGATATCCAGATGATTCTTCTACACACTCAAGTTTGAGAACCACCATTCTAGGCTGTCCTGTGCACAATCCATTCTACCAACGTTACTGAATTGGACTTGAAAAAATATTGCTTTCAAGATGTCAATCCTATGGTTGTTAGCAGCTGTTCAGTCAGCCTTTAACTCATGGCGACCCCATGCACAACGGAACAAAGGCATTTCTTCCTAGTCTGTCTTAGTCTGGAAAGCACTACTGAAACCTGTTCAGCATCACAGCAACACACGAGCCTCCACTGACAGACGGTGGTGACTACACATGAGGTGCACTGGCCACAAATTGAACCCGGGTCTCCTGTATGGAAGGTGAGAATTCTACCACCACTGCCCCCTGTCAGTCCTAAGAACCTAGAAATCTCTGGTGCCTCCAGTTCAATCAACTCAGATGAGTATTCAAAGCTCACTAAAATGATATAACCTCATCCATCCAACCTACTCTCCCACTAGAAAATGTGTTAGGTTCTACCATGAAGCTACCATGAGGCAAATATTCAAATGTTCATTTATTCAACAAATAATTGTGGAGTACCCACTAAATGCCATCATGGATCCTACACAAAAATAGGATAGATATAACACAAGTCATTATGAAGCAAGTATTATGAGATGCTATGAGAATACATGAGAGGACTTCATAGTCTGAGGGGTCAAAGAAAATTTTTCTAATAGTAGCATTTAAGTTAAGGAGGAGTGTGAGAGTATAATTATGAATCTGACTTGCAAAAAGAAATTTCTAGACATTATGAAACACTCCAAGGTTGAAACAAGCAAGAGGCAGAAAGATTAGGAAAGCAATCTGAAAGGAGGCTGCAGTGGTAGGCAGAAGTCATATAAGGCCTAAGTGGTGAAAATTCCGTTTTTCTTTTTTTTTTTTCCCAAGCATGGATATTTAAATAAAACTAGACTACAAACTCCTCAAAAGGTACAGACAATCCCTTTTATGTTATTTGTTACTTATATCTTCTCACAGAGTATAAAGAAAATAATAAAAATTTCCTTAATGCATGGAAACCAAAAAAAAAAAAAAAACCAAACCCATTGCCATCGAGTTGATTCCAAATCATAGTGACCCTATAGTCAATGCATGGAAATTCTTTTAATTTCTAGACTCTCCAAGTTATACTAACAATTATTTGCATTTTCTGATAATTTAAAAATCATATTATCATGAAACTGAAAGAAGTCTTTCCTGAGGTGCTAAGTTTTAACATAAAGTTTTTTCCTTAGAACCAGGCAATTTTCATATGGGGAAAGGTGGACACCAAGCCTTACCAGTATGATGCCAGAATGCTGGCCCTAACCAGAACTCCCAGTGGAGAGGGTGAAGGACATCTAGCTTCCTTGCCTCTTACTTGTCTCCCCTGACATCACTGTTCTTCACATCAAAACTGGTGATTAAAAAATAAAAAAAGACTAAATGATGTAAGAAAAAGATTTTACTGGTCAAGTCAGCTTATTATCTATTAGAGCCATGGTTTGCTCTTCAAACTGAATTGAAATATGGTATTTCACTCTGTGAAAGGCTCCCAAAATTCCTGCCCTTTTCTCCCACAAGAGCACACCCTGTAGAAATAATCCCGTACCCTTAAAGCACTAGGCAGAACCTGTGATTATGAGGGGATATCACTTTTAGGATTAGGTCAAAAGTGAGATTATCTGAGTGGATCTGATCTAAAAGTGAACCCTGATCTGATGTGAGCCCTTAAGACTTCAGGACTTCCCTGAAGTCAGAGAGATTGGAAAGTTAGAGGGCCTATTAAAGGGTGGCCTCCAGTCGACAGTTAGCAAGACAAGAGGGACCTCAGTTCTACAACCAAAAGGAAATTAATTCTTCCACGAACCAGAAAGGATGGAAGAGAACTCCATATCTCAGGTGAAATCTAGTCAGCAGACACCTTGATTTCAGCCTTGTGAGACTCTAAGCAGAGAAACTTGCTATGCCATGCCTTCTGATTGACAAAACTGAGATAATAAATGGGTGTTGTTTTAAGCCATTGAATTTATGGTCATTGTTATATGGCAATAAAAAAACTAATACATACACTCAGGAATTTCTCATATAATTAAATAACAGCATGTCTGGTAGTTTTTCAGACTTTATTTTACAAATATTTTCCTTCTTAATGACATAAACATTAATTTTGCAATGTCGCCTTGATATTTCTCATCCATACATTTAAAAAAAAAAAAAAAAGTTGCAATCGAGTCGATTCCGACCAATAGTTAAGTAGCGACCCTATCGTACAGAGTAGAACTGTTGCAAAAGGTTTCCAAGGAGCAGCTGGTGGATTTGAACTGCTGACCTTTTGGTTAGCAGCTGAGCTGTAACCACTGTGCAACCACGGCTCTAACATAAAAGCCATTGAATTTGTGAGTCAAAATTCACATTCAGTGTTGATGGGCCTTTTTGGTGATGTGACTTCCTCCCTGACCAGCCTTCAAAGGATGGGAAGGTGAACAGAGTACCTGTTACGCCAAGACGCAGTCCCCAGCCGCCCCAGACTCTGCTGCACAACATTTCATGGGGCCCTGAATTCAGGACAGAAGTGGATAAGGAAAAGAAAAGCGGATGCAGGTTTATCCTTTTAATTCCTAATCCAAATTCTTGGAGGGAAAAAAATGCACTAGCAGTGTCAGCAGTCAAGATATCAAACGCTGTATTGCATTGGGCATATCTGCTGCAAAAGACATCTTAAAAGTGTTTAAAAAAAAAAAAAAAGCGAAGATGTCAGTTTGAGGACTGAAACGTGCCTGACCCAAACCATGGTATTTTCAGTTGCCTCATACGCATGCAAACGCTGGACAATGAATAAGGAAAACCGAAGAATTGATACATTTAAAGTGTTGGCAAAGAATATTGAATATACCATGGACTGCCAGAACGAACAAGTCTGTCTTGGAAGAAGCACGGCCAGAGAGCTCCTTAGAAGCCAGGATGGCGAGACTTGTCTCATATACGTTGTACATGTTATCACGAGGGAACAGTCCCTGGAGAAGGACATCATGCTTAGTAAAGCAGAGGGTCAGCGAAAAAGAGGAAGACACGATGGCTGCAATAATGGGCTCAAACGTAGCAACAATTGTGAGGATGGCGCAACATCTGGCAGTGTTTCGTTCTGTCGTACATAGGGTCACTATGAGTCTGAACCGACTGGAGGGCACCTAACAGCAGTGGCATCAGGCCCTAGAAGACTGTGGCTTGGGTGCCGAGCACGCAGTTGCGACCAAGTACGGAGATTACTGGGGTCACTTCAGGCGCAGCTGGTAGGCAGTTCACACCAGTTTGAAAATATCTTTAAAACTCAAGATTGTACCCCTTGCTTGCTCAGTCCACGGGCCTAGTTAGCAGCCACAAAAATCAGGATAGCCCGTCTTCTTCACTCTGCCCCATCTAGTCGATCACGAGCAGAGGCTATCTCCCAGGAAGCTCCGACCTGCCAGTGACTAAACCCTGCGCAACGAGTCCATGTCTATCGACCGCGCCTGCGCGAGAAGGCCAGCTCCGCCGGGGTCCGGCAAGGGCGGAGAGGAAGGGTAGGACGCCGCTGCGTGGGGCGGGACCAAGAGACTCGTCGCGCCTGCGCGAAGGGCAGGACGGTGGGCTGAGACGTTACTTTCGAAACGAGTGGCGGGGAACTGCTGCAAGAGCCGCGGGGGCCGCTGTTTACCCGGTGAAAGTGCGCGCCTTCGTCTGTGGGTCCAGCCATGGCGCTGCAGCTCACCCGGGAGCAGGGCATTACCCTCCGCGGGAGCGCCGAAATCGTGGCCGAGTTCTTCTGTAAGTCATCCTCGCGCAGGGCAGAGTTGGGGAGAGCTGAGCCCAGGCCGTCCCGTAGGCCCGCGGCTCCAACTCCGAGGCCGGGAGCCGGGATGGCTCGGAGCGGCCCTGCACCAAGCCCTCGCTGTTCCGCGCCGTCTGCCCGACCCAAGGAGTCAGCGGAGAGGCGGATGCCGGCGCCTAGCTCCGGCCGCGTTGGTAATGGTGGAGGAGAAGGCCTCAGGGCTGCGGGGGCCCGCCCCGCGGTGTAGCGGCTTCACCTGGAGCGTGTCTTTAGTGTCAATCCACACCCCACTGGGACTTGGTACTAGTAGGGTGGGACCCAGTGTGTATTTTTACCCAGCCCCTGCCCCCCGTTGATTCAGAGGCAGGCCACAATTCATCAGGCTTTGTTTGGATAGAATTGTTCCCGACCAGGCCAGCTGTATCCACAACCTCTAATAGAGCCTGGCAGGACACGAGAGGAGAAAAGGAGGAAGAGAAGCTTGTCTGGAGCAGTTGACCAATAAGTCCAAGCCTGTTTTGATACCTTCTAACCATGTAATCTGAATTTGGCCTCGGATTACAATGAGGTGAAATATGGCAGTGGAAGGGTAATGCATTTTGGCATTTAATTTTTCTTTCATTGCCACGCGAATGCCTATATTACTTTCTTTTACCTAGAAGCAAGATTTTATGGATATTTAATGCCACTTTGTACACACCTACTCTGCCTTCAGTAAGACACAAGCAAACTCGTGTTTACGCATTTACAGTTTTAGAGTATTAATGAAACCATAGCCATATCTAAATACATTTTATTTTCAGTAGTTACAAATGATAATGACTTTTCTTTAACGTTTCTTTTGCTTTCAGCATTTGGTATTAACAGCATTTTATATCAGCGTGGCATATATCCATCTGAAACCTTTACTCGAGTGCAAAAATATGGACTCACCCTGCTTGTGACTACTGATCCTGAACTCATTAAATACCTAAATAATGTGGTGGAACAACTAAAAGGTATTTAATAATTGAAAGTTTGAGTTTTGCAGCGCTGCTTGGATCCACATTTTCTGTCATTTTCGTCATTTTTCAGCTGCCTGTATACAAGTGTGAAACACACTACCTTCTCAAATATAGTGATTTTTAATTGGAAGAAAGCAAATAGTATATAAATAGAAAGAAATCCTTTTCTCCACCACATTCCAAGTTGGCTGAGTATTTTGATGTTAGGAATTTGATATGGCTTGATAAATGTCTCCATCAGCTCCCTTAAAAATGATTTTTGCAGTAATTTGCAAGTTCATATGGCCAAATGGAAGAAATTAGAACTTAACAGTTATGATAGTGTTCGTTATCTGTTTGAGAAAATATCCACCATAAATTCTTAACGTGATGCTTTTTCTCTGTAGCCACTAGGATTTTAAAGTTATCGTTAGAGAAACAGCAAGGAAAATAAAATTGTATTAAACCTGGAAACTTAAAAAAAAAAAAGAATAACTACCAAGTAACAGAACATTCAGTAGAGTTTTCTTATTTTTCACCAGTTTCCCTTTGTCTTTCTTTTTAATCTGCCTATGACTTAGTCTTTTTTACCTGAACACTCAATTTTTTCTTTAGCTCAGGAAGTTGCTTTATTACCTGTTGTACCAATACTTGTTCTCCATCTATTTCTTTTTTTACTTCTAGAATTTCTGATAGTTTCCCTTTCATGTCTGTTTCTCCCCATTCTTCCAAAAGACTAGTTTGGTTTTTAACAGTGGCCATCCTTTTTCTTTTGAATTTTTAAATTCAGAAATCTTTTTGTTTTTTTAATTGATGTTTCAGAACTTTTTCATGTTCAATAGTAGCTTCATTTTTTAAATTACAGTTTTTATTGTATTTTTATTAATTTTTCAGTTTTAATATGCCTTTCTGATAATGGCTATCCAGACTTTTGTTAACTTGATATCTCTTTCAAGCTACATTATCCTCTAGATAAGCTAGTAACATTTCCCTACCATTAAAATCTACATGAGTGCCATCCCTTGATACTTGTGCAGGTCAGCATGGTAGGATCTCAAGCAATGGTGAAAAGACAAGCAAAGGAAGATAGGATTTATTCTGTAGTAAAGAGTTTCTCAACCTCAAAGAGCGTATGCTTTAGTAGATCAGTGCTATCAGAATAGCAAGATGAGACCGCTGTTGGTGGTATGGGGACACTTTAGTCTCAGGTGCAAGCAGGAAGCACATCATTAGGAGTAGCCTACGTCTCCCAAGGTTGCATCCAAAGTTGAGGGTCAGGGCTAAGTCTCCCTTCATCATTCATAAGGCTACAACCAGGTCAGTTGGCCTAAAACCTGTATAGATCTATGTTTGTAGATCTGTGTCTTCATCTTAATTTGATGGAGAAGCAGGGTTTGCCTAAGGTGCTGGTTTATTGGATTATCTCTTTTGAGAACACAAATGACATTCCACCGCCGATGTACTTAGACTTTCCTATTTAACTTCGTGTTCCCTCTTTTATTTTGGTTAAAATGGAGGAATTGTTCCTAGAGGCAAATCGTGTATCTGTTTTGAATCCCATTGCCTTTAGCGTTTTTCTGTTCTTCCTGTTCTCATATTTTCTACTTCTGTTTTGATTGGGATTCTTCCCACTGGCATCATTTCTCTCCAATTTTAAAAGAAGAAAAATTACTGCCTGCCCTAAGTCTCCTTTAAATTACCACCCATTCTCCTTTTCAGAGCTAAACCTTTGATAAAAAGTTGTTGATGTATGCTGGGGTCCAGTGAGTGGTCTGATTTTGTACTACCTGCAAACAGGACAGAGACCTAGGTGGCCTGCAAAATCTAAAATACTTACTAAATATTACTAAATCTGTCTTTCGAGAAAACTGCTGACTTCCTGTATATAGTATAGTATCAGTTTTCAAGATTACCTCAGAGCTCAATGTGAGGCCTTCCTCTCACTTTATAATCTCTCTAGATGATCTCTGACATGTATATAGCTTCTGGTAACCTTCCTGTAGTTGCCTCTTTATATCTAACCCAAATCTCTCCTAACTCCAAACCTATATATCCAAAGGCTTCCTTACATGACTATCCCAAAGATACTTCAGACTCATCATATTAAAAACTAAATTTAAGATTGTCTCCAAAATTGCTCCACTTTCAGTTCTCTTTCCTAGCAGTGAGTGGCTCAACCATCCCCTCTGTGATACAAACCAGAAACTTGGGAGCTATTTATGACTTGTTCCTCTTCCTTACCCCTATAGCTAATCTAGTAAGTTTCAATAATTTTCAGCATGAAATCTCTTGAACCTGTCTGCTTCTCCATTTCTATCAATATACCCTCCTACGTGCTTTCATTGTCTCATCTCGCTTAAACTACTAAATGAACTAACTAGTGTCTAAAAACCAAAACCATTGCCATTGAGTAGATTCTGACTCACAGGGACCCTATAGGACAGAGTAGAACTGCTCCATAGGGTTTCTAAGGAGCAGCTGGTGGATTTGAACTGCCAACCTTATGTTAAGCAACCTTTTGGTAAGGGATCTAGACTAGCATCTAGATCCCCTCAAATCCATTTTCAGAATGATAGTTTTAAAATGCAAATCTAATTATATCACATCCTACTCCAGACACAGTAATGACTTCCCTGGTTCTTGAGGTAATAATTTCTTCCTTTGGCCCACGTGGCCTTGCATGTTCTGGCTCCTGTTTATCTTTGCAGACTTACCTTGTGCATTCTTGCTTTCTTCACTGCAGTTATAGTGGCATTCTTTCGGTCCTCTGGTCACGTGTTGTTCCCCTTGTGTATTTAAGGCCTATACCTTCTTCCCTCTCCTTTTGCATATTTAGTACTGTTTGATCCTCAGAGCTAAGCTTAAGCCTTCTCTGACCTCCCTGAGTGAGTCAGTTTTTCCTATTTAAATGCTCTTTGTTGTACTGTTTATCCTTCATAGCAGTCATCACAGTTGTAATTTCACGTTTGTCAGTGTGGTGATTAGCTCAGTGCTCTTCTCTTACACTCTTAACCTTGGATGAGCATGAAAATATCTCATGCTTACTATATCCTCAGCAGCCAGTACTGTACTTGGTAGAAATGCTGAGAATTTGAAAACAGGAGCTAGATTATTGATGGGACAAGTTTTCAGAGCAGGAGAGGGTGGTGGTACAAAATTCCAGTGGTGAGAATTTGCCGAGGATAGGAAGAGAGACCTGAGAAGGTAAGGGTTGCTTTGCAATGCCATGGACCAAGAAAGATGCCTTTTTATGTGTTGCAGATTGGTTACACAAATGTTCAGTTCAGAAACTGGTGGTAGTCATCTCAAATATTGAAAGTGGTGAGGTCCTTGAAAGATGGCAATTTGATATTGAGTGTGACAAGACTGCAAAAGATGACAGGTAAGTATAAAATTATTGTTACTCTGGTATGTCTTTTCCAAAATGTGTTTTCATTACTAGATGAGTTCTAAATGTATTCAACCAGTTTTATGTAAAGTAAATTGCATAAATTGTTTCAAATGTCAGTATAATCTTCAATCTCCTGCGGCAAAGAGCTTATTTTAGCACATCATTGATTTGTATAGATAGTATTCTCCAACATAATTACCCTAAGTCTATATCATTGAATTCTGAATTTTAGTATTTATGATGGCGTATTCAAAACTATACAGGATACACTAGATGGGCCATTTAAGGAACATACCTAAATCTAAGAGATTTTCTTAGACTCTCCCCCAGCTAAAAATGCAGCTCTGCTGTATTTCCTTTAATGTCATGAACTACGTTAAGACATGTTCATGACAAATGTCATAAATGTTCATAAATGTATGAAGGCTCAAGACTCCTGGATGGGAAATGCCAGTCATTATATGCTGATGTCTAGCATTGTCCTAGGCATACTTGTCTGCAAACTCAGAACCACAGTTGTTTCTCAAAATGAAACGTACTTTGCTTCTGAAGCCTTTAGTTTAGTTCAGGAAATTGTTTTAGATTATAAAAATAATTTGACATATGACTTTAATATTTTATTTGAGGCAGTTGGGAGTTAGACTTTATAGGCGTTACTAAAATCCAAAATGATAATACTAAGTAAATATTTTAGATCCCACCTGTTATTTTAAGAGATGCTGAAGTTTTCCTAACTTAAAGAGGTTGGCAAATTTTCTAGTCATCTGATAATAAATGATATGATGCTAATACTAAGACTGATTGTAAAAGATGATTGAAAGGTTAAATGAAATAAATAAGGATACTTAAGTTATGCCTGCTAGGTTATAGGTCCTAAAATACTTTTACTCATTATTTTTTTAAACTTTTAATACATTACTTACTTGATTTCAGAAGCACTTAAGCAAGTAAATAATCTTAGTTACTAATATGTTTTAATTAACTTGTTAAAACCTGAAATAATATTAATTGATTTGGTTTCTTTGTAGTGCACCCAGAGAAAAGTCTCAGAAAGCTATTCAAGATGAAATCCGTTCAGTGATCAGACAGATCACAGCTACAGTAACATTTCTGCCACTATTGGAAGTTTCGTGTAAGTATTTATATAACTTCTTATTCATTTAATTTGTGGGAAAAGACAGCTACTGTTTTAAGAATCAGCCTTTATTAAATTTTTTCTTAATTATCAGTATCATGTAATATAAATGGAAGAAAAAGCATTATAAAGCAAAAAGTAAAAATGGGGAAATGCTGAAAAAAGAAATGAAAACTTTCACAATACCCATTTTGGTATAATTCCTTTTGCTATTTTTATTTTCTATATATTATTATGTAATTAAGATTTCAGCTGTTAAATTATGTCTTGCTCCCCAAACTTAGTTACTCCTTCATTCATCAAATATTTACTGAATGCCTACTATATACCAGACAGTCTGGATACTGGGATACAGCAGTGAACAAACCAAGATTTTAGCTCTCCTATGGATTACATTCATTTTTTTCCCATGTGATGATACACTCATTACAATATTTTTAATGGTTTCCGCTTTAAAAAAAGAAAAAGTCCTGCATTTTTCATAAGAGAAGGTAGAAGGGTACGATATTTTCTGTATTAAAATATATTTTCATTGAGGAAAAAAGATTAATGATTAGAGACCAAGCTAACTCATCCTAACAGTATGGGTGGTTCAAAAAGTGAGAGACAGAGTAGGTTTTATATTTGAAAAAATAGTGTACTTTAATGTATTTTTCATTCCCAATTTAGGTTCATTTGATCTATTGATTTATACAGATAAAGATTTGGTTGTACCTGAAAAATGGGAAGAATCAGGACCACAGTTCATTACCAATTCTGAGGAAGTCCGTCTTCGTTCATTCACTACTACAATCCACAAAGTAAATAGCATGGTGGCCTACAAAATTCCTGTCAATGACTGAGGGATGAGCTGAGAAAAATAGTATACTTGAAATTCTCAATGTGTTTTCCTGAAATGAAGTCAACTATAAGTTGATATGTTTTATTTCATTGGTTAATTTTTAGATGTGGGAAACAACATTATACTCTACTGAACTGTGCATAATCCATTTTTTGTACCTGTTTAATGTTCCATGGAGTTGACATCATGAATTAGAGGAGATTATGGTATCATCCCCTCATTAATATATTCAGCTAAATAGGTTAGCTGAATATTGCACATTGTTCAAAAGGGAACCAGCAGATTTCATCAGCATTGTAATGTCAATTCCTTTGAAGGTGGCAACTGTAGTTGGAAAAACTTTTACTATAAAGCTAAATACCTTCCTAAATCAGATATTTTGGTTAAGTAGCTTGAGTCAGAATAGAGGTAGGGTGATATTGTAAATTACAGCAAAAGAAGTCTGAATATTCAGAATCTTTGTTTAGATCCTGAAAATAACTAAGATAATCCATAAGTAATGAAATATTGAGGTCCTTCCACCATTTATTTAGATGTGTAGTTCCCCGTTGAAAAAATTTCCAATTATTTGATTTTAATTTATACAACTTGTACCTATGAAGCATGAATGTTTCTACTGTGTAATTTCCTGTGATAGAGAACTCTTTGAAAATGTCTTTTTGTGTTTGATAAAATGAAGCTTTAAATGACAATGGTGAAATAAAGTTAAGCTTGTGTGTTTTAAATTTGTCTTAAAAGATTTTGATATTGGTGTTAAATGGTAGCTAGGATGGGTTCAGTATAGTAAATAATTTTTTTGTGTTAACCAGGGTGTAGGTCCAAAGCATACAAAGATGAGTAAATCTTGAGGCACTTTCAGTTTATTGGGTTTTGATTCCACCACTTTTATCTCATAACAATTGACTTGAAATAAGCATTGGTTGTTTGTATAAAAAATGTCATTTGGAATTAGTTCAGTTTAGCAAATGTTGGATTGTAGTACCTTTAGGAGTTCATGGGTGGCACGAATGGTTAAGTGCTGGACTACTAACCAAAAGGTAGGTGGTTCAAACTCACCTAGAGGCAACTTGGAAGTAGGGCCTGGCAATCTGCTTTCAAAATTTCACAGCCTTGAAAACTATGAAGCAGTTCTACTCTATATACAATGGTTGCTATGAGGTAAAATCAACTCGATGGCAACTAACAGTAACAACAAAATACCTTTCTATACTCTTAGCCTTACCTGCTTGCCTTATGTGTAAGATTTCTCACTGTATCCTTTATGTGGCCTTTTCTTATTGTCAGCTTAGTTTTCTTTGTATACTTACACAGCTTATTCCTGTGCTTGTATTATTATTGTCATCAGGTGTGTTCTTTCTATCCAGTTCCCACCTATTTTTCCAAGGTCAGCTTAAAGCACACTTCCAAGAAGTCTTCCATAATCTCTGTTCTAAATCTTGTCTCATTTTATAATAATTAAATAAGTAGCTACGAAGTATTAGACACTGTTCTAAGCTCTTTATGTGTATTAACTCAATTAACCTTCACTGTTAAGTGAATACACAGTCTATATCCATTTATTCAACAGTTACATATTGAGCATCTGTTAATGTGCAAAAATACTGTACGCAAGTGCCAGGATGAATGAAACAAAGTCCTGGACTTTCTGAAGCTAAAAATCTTATGAGGGAAAGGAAAATATATTGCAGAGGACTGTAAAGTAATCACGCATGTTCATTTAATTACGTATTTCTTTGTCTTCGTTAGTGCACCTGATGAATCATATCTCCTGGATCCAGCTGTGTACTTGTTAAGAATAAAGAGCATTGTCTTAAACATTCTTTCATCTCAGTGCTTGGGAAATAGGTGCCCATGTTTGATGATAGCTACAGTGAATGCTGCTGAGAGAGCCCACCACCTAAGGAGTTGTTGAAGCTACCTAAATGAGGTCCAGGTGACTAGAAAGGGTCATCCACAAGTCTTTTTTCCTGAATAAGAAGAGTAGTAATGCAGAAATGGAAGTGACGTTGAATTAGGCATAATCAAAAGTCTCTAGGTTTCCAAACAACATTAGGTGTAATACAAAGTGGACAGTATTAAGATTAAAACATTCATTTGTTTCTTAGACTGTTCATAACCTCTAGCATTTGAAATACAGGTTGAGAAGGAAAGCAGAGATAGAGCATTGGAATAAATAAGGAGAGAGGAAAATTCTGGTCCTATTTTCAGGAAGTAAGTTTGAAAATCTTTATAGAAAGCAATAACTGCTTAGCCTTCAAGAAACATTGAATGCCTATGTAGTAAACAATAGAAATAATAAGACGTGGTTCTTCCCCAAAAGGAGCTCACATACTACTGATAACATTAAAATTTCAAGCATTCATGTCTTTATTCGGCAAATTAAGTGATTCTATTTTAATTTGTGGTTTATTACAGTGCTGACTTCCTTTTAAGAGACGTGCAGAAATTAATGCTCTGGATTTTAATGTTTCTCTTTCAAAATTAGTTTTAATAATAGGACTTCTGCTGTATGATCTACGGGTACAACTCTATAGTACCAACCCTTCATCAGCTAAGCGCTTGCTTTGAAAATAGCAAAAACTGGTTAGGGAAGGTTTAATGGGAGAAGGTTAACTGCTTAAGGAATGAAAGGCTGTAAACCTGAGAACTAGGGCAGCATTAGAGTTCTCAGTGACAGAAACTGTGGATTCTATATTTCTGTGTAATAAATAGACCACTGGTGTTTACCCAAATGACCTAGCTGGATGGTTTTAAGAAAAGTGTCAATGGAAAGCTTTGTTTACATTTCAATTTGAGAATTAAGAATGTAAAACTCTGAAATCACGTTTTCAAAGGTTGAGCATATACTTTGGTCACTTCATCTCAGCTAATATTGTTAACAGAGTTAATTTTTTCGATTTTATATTTGCATGTTACTATTTACTGTTGTAGGGTTCTAAAGACCAGGCTATGTATCCGTTAAGAAATAAACATGTTGGAGTTGAGTAAGAGTCAGGCTGTGAGCTTTATTGTTAAAGCTACATTGGAAAACAGCTTTGGTCTTTGACTCCCACTGGACTTGTCCCAACCTCTTACTACACTTTAGGCTCACTTTAGGGGAAGACATTTAAAACCAAACAGCTGTAAGAATTGTGATGGACATCTACACCATGTTAAACATAGAGACGCCAAAATTCCAAGAGTCTGGTTGGCCTCTAGACCTGGCCTGGACTCTGATTCAGTTTTGCTTACCATAGGGAGAGGAATGAAAACATGTTCCCGTTGAGCCCATCAAAGTCTGAAATAGAGCCCAGAAGGGACTGAGCTACACCTGGTCTCCAGGATCCTTCTCCCAGTGTTATCAATCTGAGAAGTCAAGCCTTCGTGGGAATGTTCAAGCAGAGGTATAAAAATCTTATGCATTAGTTGCCTTTTGCTGCATAGTAAACAACCATGGGGTATCAATAAGCTTTTATTCTGAAGTCAAGAGGTTAGCCGAAGTTGTTCTGTTCCACATGCCTCATTCTACCATCAGAGGGGCGGTGGCAAGGTAAGACTCTTTAGGCTTAGCTTCAGAACCTGCACACTGACATTTTTCCCACATTCCACTAAGCAAAGCAAGTCTCATGGCCAGCCAAACTTCAGTGAGACAGGGAAGTACACGTGGAGATGAGGGAGGGGACATGTGAATGAGGAAAGTGATCTAATAGATGGGGGGTTGACGAACTTTTTCTGTAAAGGGCCAGATAGTAAATAGTTCAGGCTTTGTAGGCATATGGTTTCTGTTGCACCTACTCAAGTTTGTCATTGTACCTCAAAAACAGATACAGACAATACATAAACAAAGGAACCTGGCTGTGTTCCAATAACAAAAACCAATTGATGGGCAGGATTTTGCCTGATGGTTATAGTTTGCCCTGTAGCAGACAGTAGTTTGTTCTTTGATCACAAATATTAAAACCCCTGCCTACATCAGAGGATTTGATTCTGTGATATTTATTTAAGGCTTACGTTTAAAACTATCATTTGTTGTCTCCATCCGCAGTGTCTCATCACATGGCATATTTCCCACTTTTATCTTAATTCCATATTCTCTGAAGCACAAATGGCTATTTCTTTGAGATATTTATTCCCCAGGACACCCCATAGTAAATTTTGCTCTGAAAACTTTGGAAGTGACTTCTACGGCACACAATGTGTAACAAGAGACTCAAAACAGCATAATGGCTCTGTATCTGCATTTTCAATCATTCGAATGCTTGTTAAACGTTTCTTTTATTATTAGAATGTACCCAAGTTTCTTATGTTTGTTAACCTCCTGTATATTTTAGAATACAGATCCCAAAAAATAATTAGCACAATAAGGTACCACAGACATTTAATTTTTCTTTACCTTTATGTTTTCATTTAGTTGCTTAGTATCTGAAATTTAATTACTAAACATGAAAAATCAGAATAGCTGTAATAATTCTACGTTGTAACTTTTGTATTTTCCACCAGATGTCACTAATGCTGTGATATTCAAATTAAGATTGTTTTTTTTTTACTGTATAATATTCAGCTCTGTAAATTAGAGGTTAGCATTGGGATAATTTGAAAATTGTAAAAATATAAAGACATTGGAAAAAAAACACGTAGCATCTATTATTTGCAGGGCATTTTATATGAATTATTTTGTTCTCAAGAGAACCATTTGAGTTAGTTTTTAATAGTACCAATTCACCATTTAGGAAATGGAGGCTCAGAGAATTCAGGTGCTTACCAAGGCCTTTCCTTCAATAAATGGTGGTGCTGCAATTCAAAATCAGGTAGGTCTGTCTTCCAAACCCACTCACATTCTAGTATATTATCTCCTCCACCGCCCCACCCCCAAAGTGTGGACAACTACGGAAGCATGGAGACTAGTTAGGAAGCTGTTGCAGCAGTCGAGAGAGACAATGAATGTTTGGATTAGTGTAGTAATGATGGAGGTGTTTAGAAGTGGTTACTGATGACACTTACTGATGAATGGGATGTAGGTATGAGAGATGAATGAAAGATGCTACCTAAGTTTTTGGCATGGCAATCAGGTGAATGATGGTGTCATTAACAGAGAACGCTTGGTATATTGGGGGAGAAGAAACGAGTATTCTGTTTTGAATAAAATTTTTGACTGAAGGTGAAAGGAGATATCGGGTGGACAGTTGAATATTTAATGAGTTTGGAGTTCAGAAGATGAGGAGCTGGAGATTTGTGAATCATCAGAGCATAAATTCACCTGCAGAAAAAAGACAGCAAAGAGACAAATTCTCAAGATAGAGTACTACAACACACCAACATTTAAACATAGCAGAGTTTGTTACTCGTTCAAATAGTTGAGAGATGTTTAGACAATCTTGACTATCCTGTATTTTGTAATATAATGTTAACATCGTTTTTCAGTCTGTGAGTTTGAGTGGTAGGAGGTCATACATTTTGAGAGAACATTGAAATATTAGAACATGTGCAGAAAAGGTAGCATGGATGATGAAGAGTTTAGAAGAACTGCCACGTGCAAAACATTAACTGGTACTATCTTGTCTGTCAAATTGAAGACTTAAGGTGTAAGCATTGATAGCACGATTATTGTTGTTAGCGGCCATTGTGTTGGCCCCCGACTCATGGCAACCCCGTGCACAATGGAATGAAATGCCACCTGGTTTGTGCCAACTCCATGATCATTTGCAAATCTGATCATTGTGATCCATGGGGTTCTCTTTGGCTGATTTTTGGAAGTATATCACAGGTTTTTCTTCCAAGTTTGTCTTAGTCGGGATGCTTCAATGAAAACTGTTCATAGCAACATGCAAGCTTCCACTGGCAGATGAGTGGTAACTGTAGTTATTGTCAAATGTTGGGATGGTCATGTTGAACAAGGATTGGAGTCTGTTTGACATTCTAGGGCAGAACTAGAAGTGATTGGAAACTATAGGAAGATTTATTTGTTCAGTTATAAAGTAGAATTGTGTTGCAATGAGTGCTGGGCAACGTTAGTAATTGCCCATATTCAATACTGAGTTCTCTTTCTCATCCTGAAAACGTTCATATATATCATAAGCAGGTTGTACACTTCCCTTTTTTGATGGAAGATTGAATTAAATGACTTGTAAGTTTGCTTTCTACTAAGTGGTACTATGAATCCACAAAATATAGCCGTAATAAAGAGGGTAGATTCACAATTGGTAGAACTTTCCACTGCAATAAAAGATACGTAGATAAATCATCCACGAATTCAGTCAGTTGAGAATAGGACAGGTAGTACAAATTGGGTAATAAGACTCCTTGCTCCTCTGACAAATCTAATCTGCAATAAAGTTAAATTTCCTAAGGTAATATATTTATGTAAGAATATTCAATAACAATTATTAATTTTCTCATTCCATTACAGGTTGCCATTGTTTTTATTGGAATATAAATAGACTCAAACTCACTGTTGCTCTCATACTTGAAATGGTTTTCATGTATTCCACATTACCAAATAATTTTTATTTCACTTAAAAAATCTTGTTGATTTCTAGGGTTATTCAAAGTAATTCTGTTTTTTTAAAAAAAGGAAATAAATTTTATTTTAATGAAGGTGGTTTCTTTTTAAAGGGAAAGTTAAATCCAAATAAATGTATGTTTGGGATAAATTCTTACTTATCACTTGATATGGGTCTGTATCTACTTTCTTTTGCTAGTGGTCATTCTAATTTAAAAATCGTTCATTATAGACATTTGGTTTTTGTTAGCTTCTGGTCTTCTTTGTTAATCATTTATCTATATCATACATTAGCCACCGGAGTGACAGAGAACTTTTATTT